AGGGGCAGGGGAGGAAGGGAGGGAGAGGGAACTGGGATTGACATGTAAAACAATCTTGTTTCTAATTTAAATAAAAAGGGAGAAAAAAAGAAAGAAAAAAAAACAAATACTTATCTTTAAATCTACATACAAGTATAGCTCTGAGCCTTCATCAAAGAAGCTTCTTTTCAAACAGATGAAGGTCTGCAACTTGTCAAAATGCAGAATAAGGCATGTGGGTTGTCAATCCCAACTGGAACATCTGCAAGACAAAACCCTACACATAAAATCTCAAAGGACATTGTGGAAAAGGAGTCTGAAAAGTTGTAAGATCCAGAATTCCATGATGCCTGATGTTAGATAACACCATCTAAGCATAACATGGGAAATGCACCCATGAAACCTCATAATGTGGTTGCCTGAATATGAATTGCATAATGACATTGTCATTTGACATGCCATGGTGGACAGCAGAAACACCACCTTGACCTACACCTAGAAGTAGGGCTGCATTACAAGTGGTTACTCAATGGTAGCTGAGAGAGTGAGAATCTGTCTTTCCCAAGTACCAGGTTCCAAAGAGGATCTCTAATCCCATGTAGATAATCAGGGACACGTGGAGATACAAGCAATGTTAAATGGTCCTCTCCCTCTCCCTCTCCCTCTCCCTCTCTCTCTCTCTCTCTCTCTCTCTCTCTCTCTCCTCTCTCTCTCTCTCCCTGTGTGTGTGTGTGTGTGTGTGTGTGTGTGTAACAATAATGGCTAATGACCCTACTGATTGAAGAGGGCATGAGGTTACTTTGAGGGAAAAAGGTGGATGGAAATGATGTAGGTAATAGTGCTCATGTATTTAGTTCTCAAAAATAAAATAAAACCTTAAATTGTTGTTGATGGAAGTTTCTGTCCTGTCTGGTCCTGCAGCCCTTTAGTTCCAAATAAGCACACAGAGTCTTATATTAGTTATAACCTGTTTGGCCTATTGCTCAGTCTTATTACTAACAAATTCTTACAATTTAAATTAACCCATAATTCTAATCTGTGTTTAGCCACATGACTTGGTACCTTTTCTCAGTAATCATTATTATCTTGCTTCTCTGCCTCTTGCTGGCCACTGCATCTCTGGCTTCCTCTTCCTAGAATTCTCCTAGTCTGGCTGTCCCACCTATACTTCCTTCCTGGCTTCTGTCCAATCAGCATTTTCTTAAACCAATATCAGTGACAAATCTATAGAGTGTTGCAAGTTTTAAAAAAATAAAAGTTTTAAAAGTTTAAAAAAATAAAATAAAAAGTATCAAAGACTTTCATAAATATTTTCTAAGGTCTCTGTGAGAAACCATATGTAAATTTATATTTGGGGTTCTTACCAGTCATGTGGGACAATCATTTTGCTCTTTTAGATATCCTAAGTTTATGAGGGGGTGATGAATTTAGAATTTATTTCCTGCCCGGCATTGGTGGCGCACATCTTTAATCCCAACACTCGGGAGGCAGAGGCAGGCGGATCTCTGTGAATTCGAGGCCAGCCTGGTCTCCACAGTGAGTGCCAGGATAGGCTCCAAAGCTACACAGAGAAACCCTGTCTCGAAAAAAAAAAGAAAAAGAACTTATTTCCTAAGAAGAGAGTACCAAAAGTCAAGAGAACTTCATGACAGAAAAATTGGCAAAGAATATTACAGTTTTGATGTAATAAATGATACCTGGCCCCATGAGATTGGTTAATGATTATTCACAAGAACAACAATGAAAGTTGAAACAGGAAAAGTACAAAAAAAAAAAAAAAAACTGAGACATGCCATAAAATCCCTAATCCTCACTTCTCAAAACTCTCAGGATCAGAGCTGGGAAGGTGGCTTCTTGGTTATGTGCTTCTCATGCAATTATGGGAACATGAGTTTGCATCCTAATGTCCTGTATAACAAACCAGGACCAAGAATGCTTGTAATTGTAGTACTGGGAAGGAGACAGGAGTACCCGGGGCTCACAGGCTAGCCAAGTTGGTGAGCTGTAAGTTCTACTGAGAAAACCTGTCTTGAAAAAAACAAGGTGGAAAGCAGTTGGGGAAGAAAGCAAAGTAGACCTTTGAAGTCCACATGTGTGTGTGCATGCATGCATGTGCGTGTGCACACACACACATGCACACACACCCTCAGGATCTTAAAAAATAGGAGAAACTGATAAACTGTCAGACTGGAAACATCGTTAGGGGATCCTGAGACAGGAAAAGGCTGTAAAGGGAAAGTGTTGAAATGTGAATTTGCTTTATTGCAGTGTTGGCATTATGGTTTCTCAGTTTTTGATAAAAATTTGGAGGCAAGATGAGAGCATTAGAAGATGCTGCCTATACTAAGAGTGAAGGAATTCACCTATTTGGTGAATGCTAGGACTATGTGATGGAAGGGTAACCCCATTAATGATAATAAGGAAATGAATGTCTAATGCACCTTGCCTATGCTGATTCCCTGATGGAGTAGGGAATTTTCTCAATCAAGTAACATTGGATCAGTCACTGGCTCAGTGAAGACTTGAATTTATACAGTATTGAACTTTTCAGTACTTTTGGAACAAACCATCTTCTGTGATCCAGGTATTGTGTTATATTGTTACCTAGAATTAGAAAGACAGGCCAGTAACTCTCTCTCTCTCTCTCTCTCTCTCTCTCTCTCTCTCTCTCCTCTCTCTCCCTGTGTGAGTGTGTGTGTATGTTTGTGAGTGTGTGTGCATGTGTGTGTGTGCATGTGTGCATGTGTGTGTGAGAGTGTGTGAGTATGTGAGTGTGTGTTTGTGTGTGATCCTGCACTCATTCTCACATGCTATCTAATAATGGAGAATAATCTGAGATATTAGAAGGGAGGTAAATTTTAGTTGCAATAAAAACTCCATTAAGGACTAAAGCCTTGAAGATTACTAATGAGCTAACTTTCTGTTTCTTTTCATTTCTCTTCTTCCCCTTGTAGACCACCTCAACCACTCTGATTTATCAGTGATTGTTTATCAGTGCAAGTAAAATAGCATGACTACAACAGACCGTGAGTTTGTATAACCACTGTTAGGAGCCCTTGGACCACAACGTTTCTTTTGCTCTGTCTGCTCCCACCTTCATGCATTTCTAAAGCTGACTTTTATTTACTTATTTTTTCTGAGACAGGGTTTCCCTGTAGCTTTGGACCCTGTTCTATAACTTGCTTGTATTCCGGGCTGGCCTTGAACTCACAGAGATCCTCTTGCCCCTGCTACTGGAGCGCTGGGATTAAAGGCCTGTGCCACAATAGCCAGGCCTAAAGCTGACTCTTTAGTCATGTAGATAAGAAACTTATTACATTGCTTCTCTTCATATATTTGTTGTGGTATTTTTTGTAAACTCACATTATAATCATGATAACTGCACCAGTATCTTTTTTTTTTAAAAAAAAAGACTATGCTCATTACACTGTTTCATTATAATTTAGAATCACCAATACTTGAGATTAAAATCTACGTATTGATAACCATTCCCACTTCCCCTGGTAGACTCAACTCTTTCCATCAGCATAAATCTGAAAGCAAAGCCTGTTTAAGCTTCCATCTTGCCAGTTAGCCAAAATGTGTTTTTAAGGGTGAACTCAATAAAGCGTCCTCTCAGAGAAGGATGCAGAGGAAGAGCGGTTCTGAAGGCACAGATGCACACTTGCATAGCAGAATGGATATTTAAAGGCAGGTGGAAGCACACTTGTCCTAAAGTGTGGTCTTTGCGGATTCAAGAGCTCAAGGAGCTATCCCTATGCTCTACTGCCACCTTGGCATATCAGAAGGATTTACAACGGAATTCTTCACTCTGAGGTCTGGAAGCAGCTCCTGAGGCCTCACAGGGCTGCAGGGCTCAGCGAGGCATCTGAAGGGCTTCTATTCACAATGGCTTGGGTACGATTCTGCGTGGGTGGGGGGCCGGGTTCTATTCGGTGGAAAAGCAGGATTAGCTTTCCCCTTTGAAACAATCCGGTTTCAGCAAGATCTACCTGTAGGTAACTCTCGGAGCTTTCTAATAGCTTCCTGCTTCTTTAGTGCAAATGAGAGCCTGAAAAAGCGATTCTGCCCTTTCAGGGATCTGGGTTTGCTCTCAGATCACAGTCTTGGCTCATTTAAGTGTGAGGGTAGAGTAGAGGAGCCTGAGAACTATTTTCTCAGGACGAAGTGTCTTCTGGGGGTCAGAGACTGTTCTCTGTTCATTCAGCTAACTTCCTGGAAGTTCCGAAGGCGTAAGCAAAGCTGTTTACTAAACCCAAGCAGGAGTTTATTATCTGATTAACCTGTTCCAAGAAAGGCACTGAGACACGGTTGATCAAATCGCCCTTAAAATTGATCTGCTGTTTCAAGCCCCCTCTTCCCGCTTTTCAATTTCTTCTTTATTTCCCTTTTTGTGTTTTGTATTTTTATTCCTCCCGATCCCCCGTGTATTTTCACGTTAGCCTTTCTCTTTCTGCCCGTTTCCCCAATCACACCCCCCCCTTTTTTTCCTTCTCAATGGGTGTTCAGGTGTCTTGATCTTCCTTTCTTGAGTGATGTCATTTAGTTTACACCGGCCTCGGATGGGCAGGTGAGAGGCAACTGTCCTTGTGGTTTTATTTAAAAATTTGCCAGGAGTAGTGGGTCCCTGCCTCCATTCCCCTAGTGCTGCACTTGGAATTCTGTTAAGAGTTAGAACTAGATCAGAGATTTCCAAGTCTCAAAGCGCAACTGGGAAAGGAAATGGTACCAGGGGCGGGGTAGGGGTGGGGGACGACGACGACACAGAAGTAAAGGAATAATAATAATAAAAAAAACTTTTCTGGCAACTTCAATAAATCCGGTAACTGGAGGTAAAAAATAGATTGTGAGGGCTGGGTCTGGTCCGGATGAAACGCTAGGCTCCTTCCCAAATCCCGAGTCTGGCTCCGAAAGCGCGCCACTGGCATCTTGCCATGCTAGTGCCCCTAGACAGCCACACGCCCACTGGAACTGCACGTGAACAAAGCTTTTGCCCAGAGAGCCACCGCCTGCGGTTTCTCAGTGCAATGTAGCTTCTATCCGGAGTGTAGGGTGAATACAGGGTTAAGCTAGCTCCCTCCTTGGTAGGAGGGAAAGGAGGGGGAGGGGGAACTAAGCATTCTGTCTCGCCGCCCGCCGGGTACCTTGCAGTTAGTTGTACATTTCAAAGCGGTCGCCATCACTCGTGAGTTTGGCGTCATCCATTGTCACCACCGAGGAATGTGCGCTGGGAGATAACACCAAGTGCAGGGCCTCTCAAAACACTCAGAGCCCTCTCTGCTTCCAGGTGCGCTCCTTTCTGATCCTCCGTCCCGAGTTTCCAGCAGCCAGAAGCAGCAGCTCACAACGGGTCACGGCGTCCACCGAGCCTCAGGACCAGGGTGTCAGTTCTCAACGATGGGCAGGAGGGACCTCGGCGGCGACCCCTAAAACAATACCATGCCCGGAGAGTCCCTCTGCTGCCGTGCCAGCTTCTTCCCTTTCCACCTCCCCGACCCGGTCGGATTCGGATGAGCTAAGGAGACAAGACCACCAGGTAAAGGGATTACTGTGTCAGGTGAAGTTTCTAGTGACTGCCCTAGCTTTCCTGACGCGGGCACCACTGTATTTGGGAAAATTTATTATTTTTTTCCTTCTTTGAGCAAGTGGTGGGTGGTCACCGGATGGGTGTTCTAGGTATTGTCTCTTTTTATTCCCAAAGAATATTGGCTTTCTTTCTTTTTTCTTTCTTTATCTCTGTACCCCTACATGGAGGACTTCTATACTCTCAAGTTGAATCCATATCGTCTAGAGAGTTTTGTGACTGAGTTATGGGTTAAAAACCCCTCGTTTGCCGCCTGCCAGAAACATCCATCCTAAATGGAGTTTACCAAATCCCCCATGCCTTTAGAACTCCAGCCTCTCATTCCCCCTAGAATGACTCTCTTAAACCCGGTAAGTAGCAACATCCCTTACTCCTCTTTGTTGAACACCAGAGTGTTATTATCAAACGTCTGCATCTGAAACCTCTAGCCGCCTTGTGCCCCAAATCCGGAATCAATTAGCCACTAAACTGAGGATGCTGGTTCGTTTTCTTTCCAATCTAGTGTGATTTTTCCAAACCAAGGATCCTTGCTGCTCTGCTCTTGCTCCGGGGACTGGCAATTCCAGGGCTGGAGTAGCTGCGCTTTCCCGACTCAGCGGCGGGGGATGGAGAAGTCCCCCAGAGCTCCTAATGCTGACCTATCATCTCTTTCCCTGCCTGGAAAGTGGAGATGGGTCCTTCTACGCCCCCAGGCGCTGAATGCAAGTCTAAGCAGATGCCCAGAAGGGGAAGGACCCATCCAACTGTCCTCGAGTCCCCAGCAGGCTAGGGGCCTCCTGGAAAGATTTCTCTGCTAAACTAACCAGTCCAGGGCTCCTCCTGGAGCTTTCAGCGCCTGGCGCGAATGGAATCACTTCTGTTTTGTAATCCCTTCCACGATCTATGGTCTGAGCGAGCTAAGGACTCTGCACTGATAAGGGAAAGGAAGATTTAGGAAAGAGCCTGTGTGTCTTGGAAAGACTGATCCCACACTTGCTGTTTGGATATATATTATTTTGCTGGGGGCTGGGGCAGGAGCAGTAGCTGCTGAAGGCTACCGCCATCGCTGCTGTCATCTTGGCAGCTTCTCTTCAGAAGCTCCCAAGATGATTCTCAACTACTCATTCTCCTTAGATCAGAGTCTCCATTCATGCCCCATTCTCTCCTGGGTATTTGTCAGTTGCGCTTTGAGTTTGAAGAAAAGACAGGCTAAACGTAAGTGTGTTCTGGTCGACTTTGTGTATATAAAGGACGGGAAAGAGTGGCAAGTTCTCCTGAACCTCAGTGGTGTCTGCCAATGTGTGCGAATGAGTGTGTCGCGGTGCGTTTTGGGTGGATCCTTGTGTGGCTTGGGAGACAAATCGGGCGTGTCTCCAAGTCGTCTTACCAGGACTTAAGCGCTCAAATCCATGAAGGTAGTAGACACAACAGCGATGAAGGAAATAAAAACAATTGGGGAAGTGGTGCCAAGTGACTCAGACTTTGAACTGAGGACAAGGAGTGCGGTCGCGCCTGGGGTTCGTCCGGAAATCATCTCCAGCGGGTTACAGGCAACGCCCTTGCCAAAGTCGTCAGCCCAGAATGCTGAGAAGATCCCCGGGGAGTTGGTCCAGGGCGAGCTTTCAACTTGCAAATTGCTTTTCCTGGGGCCCTACCCACAGCGCGCCGCGTTGCAGACTAATGCTTGGTGCGGGCTTGTTCTCCCTCTTCTGTTAGTATTCCGCCGGTCTCCAGACTAGTTAAAACACGATCACAACTTGCTGGAGACTTCTGGGCAGCAATGAATGGAGGAGCAAATCAGGCTACTACCCCCTTGCCAAAAAGAAAGGAAAAAGATCAAATGAAAGAGACATGTCTCAGATTTCTTAGATTACTCTTTAACCTTTGCAAAGATAATCCCAAGTGAGAAAGGCGTGCCGGTTGGACGTTTTAACTACGCAGCCTGTTTTCATAGTCTTTGCAGCTGACATTGTCAGTTGTCCATCGTAATTTAGAAAGACAACTCATCTACTGAACATCACTCTTGCCAGGAGCAGCCAGGGTGACAGGGGAAAGTGGATGTGCTTAAATATGTTGCCAAACTCTAATTCCTCCAATTAAAGTTTATGGAAGAAAGCTAGAGGAGCAGACCTTTGACGCGCTGGGGGTGCGGCACGTCCCCAGTGTTGCCTGCGAGTAAAATAACGCCATTTTGGTTGAGAGACTTGCTATATTTTTACCCTCTAATGTTATGTTTCCATCATTTCTGAGTCTAAGTAATAGATCATCTGGCATAGACATCCAGCGGGCGCACTATAGGGAAAGGGTCCTTCACCGTTTAGAGAAGCTGGGGGGTAGGCTGACGCCTGAGTTTTAAAGATAGAGGCGAGGACCTGGGTCAAGTTGGTATTCCTGGAGCAGCCGGGTGCTCGTGAACTCTCTCCAGGGAAGACAGGGTTTCCATCCCCATCTGACTTTGGCTCTTGGAAAGCTTAGGGTTGCTGCGACTCCTCCCAAGCATTCTTTAAACCAGAGAAGTGGGAGGGACTGGGCTTGGGAGGGAGGAGAAGAGGGAGGCCAAGTAAGAGGGCTCGAAGAGGGGAGCGCGCCAGAACACGAGGGACCGAGGGAGAGGAGGGGCGCGCAAGCTGCAAAGCCTATCCCGGGAATTCATTACAGTAAACATCTCCTGGGGGTGTCAAGAGGGGTGGGGGTGGGGACCTCGGCTCCTACATTAGCGGACGGGTCCGATCAAGGCAGCAGTGTGGTTGGACCAGCCTCCAGACCCGCGCCCCGCAGACGCTGCACTTGGAGTCAGACCCGCGCCCGCCCCCGCGCAGCCAGCCGGAGCTGCACGCCCTGCTGCGCGTGGTCCGCACACTCCCCGCGACCAAGCACCAGCCCAGTTCTCTCGCCGACTCCCGCGTTCCTCGGTCTCCCAGCAATCCGGGTCTAGGTCTGGACTGTCTCCGCCGCCCTCCTAGATCGCCCTACTTTTTGGGGGGTTCGAGGTGGAGAGGGGGAGAAGGAAGAGGAGAGGAGACCGGAGCTGCGGCTGC